GAATAGAGAAAAAAAAGAAATAGAGATAGTATGTCGAGCAGAATAAACTCACTTTGTCGAATTAGTAATGGAGTTTGACTCATGCGAATGAGTGAGTCATCCTACGCCAATAATCATATATATATATATATATGCACACACATAGGCGCGCGCGCGCGCACACACACACACACACTATAAATGATAGTCATTCTTCTATTATACAAACGAAGAGTTTTGTCGTGTATAACAAAGACTATAATGTTTAACAATAATAATTATTAACGTATAATAACACGAAAGGCTAAATGGTTGACTGGTTGAATGGATAGCTAGTTGACTTGTTGTTAACGTTGTTTCGACGAAATAATAATGAATCGTTTTCTCGCTCGTCGTTTCCACGATTTTCGATTTTACCTCTGGTTAGTTAAAAAGCAACAGGTTGAATTGCGGTCGCTTATTAAAGGCGGCACCTTCTGTGTGTGTAACTAACGCATATGTGTATACATATGCGTATGTATAAATACCTATATATGTATGTATGTATGTATACATATATATATATATGTATGTATATATATATGTATGTATATATATATGTATGTATGGATTATAGCAATGAGATCATCATCGATGACTATCGATAATAACTTTTCTTTCAGAATATTTTTAAATAAATGAATTTATCTTCTTATTTTTATGCTCTCATTTGATACGCAAGGTAAATACAATATCTTTGGAAGAAAAATAATCGATGTGTCGATAATTAAAAGAAAAAAAAAAAAAAAAAGGAAAGAAAATGGGAGAAAGAAAAAAAAAGGAGGGAAAAGAAAAAAGAGAAAATAAAAAAGAAGAAGAAGTAGAGGAGATATAAGAGAGAAAGAAAAAAATATTACATTATCAATAATAAATGCGTGTCAAAGGATTGATGAATAATAACGAATATTTATTTTCTGATAAGTATCGATATATCTCTTCGAATTAATCAGTATTCACAATCACATTATGTACGTGTACACATAGGTTAACAAATAAATGCGTTTGAAGAATATCGATATGTCGATACCTT